TAAAAGGTCGTATATTTAAGAACGGAGGGAGTAGATTCCAATTCATGTAGCAAGCGTACCAGGACCTGAAGTTCTTGCCGGAAGTGTTGGAAAAAAAATCTTAGGACCTGTAATTCGTAGATCAGATTTAAAGATAATGCCCTGTAAAGGAAGGCTCCAGTGATGGCGAGGTGTTCCTAAATTGTTAGTGTTTTCCTTCCTGTAGCTTGGCTTGGAGAAATGGCAGTAGCAGCCTGATCCTGTGATACAGTTTTTTGTGTGCGTAGAAACCGTGAGTTTTATTCCATGAGTTCTATTCATTTATGACAAGGTTACAATCAGTTGGCACTAGCAGCTCGAAACACGGGGGAAGTTGGCGTATCCAACAAGCAGTCCTACGCTCCATTCTTCCATGGTTAGCCAGACAGCCGACAACCTTAGGCCCTGTTTGGATTGGGTGTAAGTTTTTACACCTGTATTTATTTTACAGGTGTAAATTACTGGTCGCCTCTTGATTTCAGCCTGAAATTAAAACGACGGGAGGAGATCTGTATTCTAAACCGGCCAAAAACGAGCTGAAACGCCAATCCAAGCAGGGCCTTATTCTGTTCACAATCACGATTAATCTTCAATTTTTTTTCTGCCAAATAAATAGTCATTTCTGGAGTTCCAAAGGCACCTATAAGAATGTAAAATATTTTAAACAATTTCTTGGGGATGATTCAATGGCCATTGAACCTTGGATAATATCAGTATTTTTTTGAGATCTCCTTTGAATTTTTTTGAGAGGATTCTTTGTATTTAGCTTTTTAGAAACATTTTGTATTTTGCTTTTTTTATGGCAAAACTTTGTATTTTGCTTTTTCTTTGAGAAATAACTTTGTATTTTGCTTGGAATCATCGCTACTCACTTGGGCCCCGCGACCAAGCAAGCGAGTTGGCAGCCTCTCACTGTCAGCAGCCCACTCACACGGGCCTTCCCAGCACACTCCAGCCATCGTGTCCAGGATGATGTCATTTCTGGCTGGCCCATTCGTCGCCTCACTCTCCTCTGAGTCCTCTCCCCCGTCGGCGCAATAGCGAGAAGATCCTCCGACGGTCGCTACGGGCAGCGCCTGCGTCTGGCGACGAGGCAAGTCCTCGTCCGCTCCGTTTCAGGGAGCGGGGCTACAGTCCTTCCCCATGACAGTGACACGTGCATCGGAGGAGGGGAGGAGGCGGCCGCTGCTCTCGCCGGGAGATTTGATGATACCCCCCCTGGTTGGTTGACTTCTATCATAAGCTCCTTTTGTCTTGCACCAAACAGTGGGAAAGGGGCTTATGATCGAGAGGCAGACCAACATGGGGGAGGGGTTATCATCAATTCTTCCGCTCTCGTACTAGTAAGACGACGAACTGCACCTGGAACCCCAAACAAATTGTTGGGTTTTTACTAATTATATCAGAATTTAGTTACGAGCAACACCACCATTGATAGAAAAGCAGCGGTTAGTCCCTAGACCCTCTGGTTATCTCCTCGAAGCGTATGAATATCGCTCTTCTCGCCAAGGGCATCGGGGCTACCCTTCCTCTCTCCTCACCGCGTACCGGTGGAAACCCTTGGCAGCAGTGTCGTCATTGTTGGTCCCTTCTTGGAGGTGTTGATTGGTACCGGTTCTTCGGAGGTTCGGAGCTTGGTGGGCGATCTCCGGTGGATGCCGCGGCCACGAGGCTTCTTCGTTTTTTGTCAATCCGCCGTTGTCGGCATTTATTTCTCTTGTATTTCTTTTCTTTTCTTTTGGGCTTGACTGTGCTGCTTCCGCCCCAGCACCTATCGTTGGCTGTCTCGGTTGGTTGCTTTGTATACAAAGCGGGGGGAAACCCTTTTTCGGAAGTGGCTCTGGCGCATTGAGACTGGCG